GGACACGGGGATGGACACGGGGATGGACAAACGGACACGGGGATGGACACGGGGATGGACAAACGGACACGGGGATGGACACGGGGATGGACAAACGGACACGGGGATGGACACGGGGATGGACATTGGGGTGGACAGATGGACACAGGGACAAACGGACACAGGGATGGACAAACGGACACGGGGATGGACAAACGGACACAGGGATGGACATTGGGGTGGACAGATGCACACAGGGATGGACACAGATGGACACAGGGATGGACAAACGGACACGGGGATGGACAGATGGACACAGGGACAAATGGACACTGGGATAGACACAGGGATGGACAAATGGACACTGGGATGGACAAATGGACACTGGGATGGACATGGGGATGGACACAGGGATGGACATTGGGGTGGACAGATGGACACGGGGACAAATGGACACTGGGATGGACACGGGAATGGACACGGGGATGGACACAGATGGACACAGGGATGGACACAGAGATGGACACAGATGGACACAGGGATGGACAAACGGACATGGCAATGGACACAAGGATGGACATGGGGATGGACACGGACACAGGGATGGACAAACGGACACGGGGATGGACACGGTCACCTCTGCTGTGAGCCCTTGAGTGACCACAGGGGGTGGGGTGGCCACTGAAGGTCCCTATGGGGGTCTGGCTGGGGTGGGGGCTGTGGGGTCCCTGTCTCTGGTGGCCCTGGGCCAACACCTGAGCTGCTGTTGGTGGCCCCAGGTGTGGTGACACCCACCCATTGTGTCCCTCCATGGCCACTATGGCCCAGTGATGGCCACTGTGACCCAACCGTGGCCACCCTGACTCAGCCATGGCCACCATGACCCAACCATGGCCACCATGACCCAACCATGGCCACCATGACCCAATCACAGCCACCGTGACCCAACCATGGCCACCCTGACTCAGCCATGGCCACCATGACCCAACCACGGCCACCATCACCCAACCATGACCCAACCATGGCCAC